GAGAGAGGAGAGTTGATCGGGAGATGGAGATCTGAAATAGAAATGAAATTAGGGATTTCAATTTTAATGCGAGGTGGGTGGTGTGCGATGGGGGGATATAATTTAATTTTTATAATAATATTATTAATATTTAAAATTTTATTTATATCTGATTTTTGAAAAGAAAACTTTTAAATCTGAATTTTGAATTGTATAGTTTAAAATGAGGGGTGTGAGTAATTTCCTCAAAAAAGAATAGAGGCCCAGTTAAATGTGTCAAATAGTCTTGGCCAGCCCACTTTACAACCCGAGGTCCAGTATAATAACCCATCTAATGACACTTAACTTCCCGCGTAACAACGGCAAACTGGTAGAAAAATGGCAAAGAATTCATCAAATCATAGAATTGGTACAAATCAGTACGCCCGAAATGGCCGCTTGGCCTCTATTTTGAGCAATAAATCCCCGCCAGAGTAAATCCTAGAGCCCCCCAAATCGCTCTGAGCTTCCGATTTCCCAAATTATGTGCATTTTAATGATCTACGTTCTTGATTTTATTTAATTTTCTTCACAATTGGTTTCATGACAAAGGAGAACAGAGAAGGTCATCAAAATCGGAATTGAGCGGTGATTTGAGGGGGTTTCATCAATTACGTATGTTCAAATCTGTGTATGCCTTGTTTTTATGTAATCACTGAACTGTTCTCTTGTTATTGATTCTCGAGCTTTTGAAATTACGAAATCCCAATTGTTTGAACCTAAAAATAAAGAAACAGAATTATTTGATGCTTCAATAACTCAAAAAGACACAATTACCATTAATTGTGTGTAAATGATCTTTGGTGTTGAAATTGCATTGGTTTGATGGTTTTTGTGAATCATTTCATGAATGATTAATGTTTATTAAATCCTAATTTTCAAATTTCAGATACAAAGATAGCTAAATTTAAGCCCTAAGAGCATTTCCAGTGTAAAATCAAGTGTAAATTGACATCTTCAAAACTATTTTTAAACCCAATTTACATTCAGTGGATCTAAATCCAATCCTACTCTAATGGGAAGATCTAAAAAAATTGTGTGCAAGTCGGTTGGTAGCTTTTTGTCTCTCGTGGTTCATAGATATATTTACATTTTCTGCCAGAAAATGCACTTTGCATTTCCACTGGAAATGTTTCCTGCCATTTTGGAGATCCAAATCACAATTTATATCGAATTTAGAGCACCATAGGAGATGCTCTAATAGCTTAAGAAAGAATCATGAAACTGCATTTTTAACATTATGTACCATTTTGTGAGACCAGTCCATTCAGCAAACCTCAACAAACTCTTTAAAAAAGAGTTATGCTGTGGGAATTTACTCCACAATACGTCGCAAGTGCTTAGTCAGAGCAAGGTTTATGTGGGAGTCGCGGAATATGTTAGGAGTCAGTCCAATAAAAAAATAGCTTGGAATCACCGTAAGCCATTCTTTTCATGAGATTCTACATATATGAAATTGTGGAAGCAGGCCTTTGATTTCCTTGGACCACGTCTTGCTTCGAACATAGCAGTTTCTATGAATAGAGTTCAGGGAGAGGTAATACTGTGATGCATTGTGGCTCAAATTAATTTATAAGATAGACTACTTATGGGAGTAATCAGTTGTTTACTTTATATTCATATTCTTGCTTGTAACCCTTTGCCAATTGTGAAAGATGATGATTTTGAGAAAGTGATGTATATAGGGTGTGTTTAAGCCACATTATTTTGGAAGAATGTATTTTGGAATAGTAAACTGATGAAGAATTTGTGGTTGAAAAAAAAA